AACCTTACCCCAAACACAAAAGCACGTGCCACCCGAATACGTTACAATCCATAATATCAGAATCGTCCTGAGGGCACAAAGCTCACACTACAGCCCCAAGCCCCACTTCCCTTCTGGAGATTCAGCTTTGTTTTCATTAGCTGGGCTTGGCTGCAGGGGGTACTGATGGGACCCACTATTCCTAGAACCAACCTATCTGACCCAGTTTGAGTTTTCATCATTTTTTTCCATCAAAAAAATATATATATAACCTCATTTCATATCCCAGTGTGACATTTTAATTTAAGAAGCTATCATTAAAACGCCTATTTCCTTTGGAACATGTTTTGTTTTGTAAGCAGAAAGAGTCTACCTGTTGTAAAATAGTAATTTCTGAAAGCGAACAAAAATAGTAATTTCTGAAAGCAAACAAAAACATCTGACACCCAAAGGATGCACTAAGCTCTGGTTAGGACATGGGCAGGCTCAGCACAACCTCACCCTGTTCTCTCCCTGTGGCCACTGACAAAGAAGGCAGCAACTCTTCTAGATTCTAGATTCTGGGTGCTCAAAGATCCTGTGCTCACAAGTGAGTGGCAATTCTAGGGCGAGGAGATACTGAGTCCTAATTTCGCATAGGACAAGAGCAGGAAGGAGGGGCACCCCATGAGAATAACAACATGTTGGAACCGACAGACCACAGAAACCTGTGGCATCTCGTGTACTAACTGTGAGCTTCACTGTTGTACACACACACACACACACAGCAGTGATCTGTAGCAAGTTAATACTAGCTAAAATAAGGCTATTGTCACCAGAGCGGCTGTTTTGCACACGCAAGGCCATTCTCCTGAGGATCAGTGTTGGGGTGACTGTGGCGTGGAAATGCAAACTGCAGAATTCACTAAACTAGCCCCACAACATCACTGAAGAATAAACAAGCAAAAGATCCAGGGTCAGTGTCCACAGCTGCTACAAAACAAAATTGTAAGACATCCAAAGAAGCAGGTCACAGATGGTGCCCATGGGAGGGTCCAGTTATCGGACTTAAGACATCAAACCCTTAAATAAATAATGCTTAAAGAACAGTATGGCGGCAGTGCCTTTCCAAATAGCATCATTAAGAAGACAGAGTTAAACAAACAAAACAGAAACAGAAATAAAACAGTCTAAATGGAAACTCAAGAGCCGCAAAACACAGTATCTGAAATGAAAATCCTCCAGAGGGCTGCAAGGGCCGATACTAATGGGCCAAAGAGAAGCCCCCAGGGAACTTGGCTAACTTGACGACATGACCACTCCATGGGATGGTTAAGGGGAAGGTGTTATTGCAGACACGAGAGAGGACAGCCAGAGACATCTGCAAGAGTCCAGAGCAGAGAAAAAAGTTAGTAGACAGAACGTGTTCAACAGTTGGCCATGGGGGAAGCAGGGAGCAGAGTGGAGAGAGATGGAGGAAGGGAGGCTGGGTGGGAGCAGAGAGGGGGAACAGGGAGACAGAGCATAGCTGAGACAGCAGGGTTATAAGGAGAATGAGTAGCTGGGGGAGGGAGGCTGTGAGTGAGATGAGCTGAGAAGGGCTAGGATGCTCATAGGCTCTGAGGTGTTAACAGGTTCTTGTGACACTGAGGGAGACTGGAGGCCAGCGCATGCCTAGGTGTGCTGGTAGGCACCACAGATAGCCATTTGGGGAAATGGAGTTGCCTTTGGACCTGACTTAAAGGTGGAATTAGGAGATTACATGATCCAGATGACTGAGAAAAAGTGAACAACCTATAGAAGTATCAGGAGGGGGCAGAGCCAAGGATCCATGCCAGAGTTCATGGTAAAAGTGTAGAAAGACGGAAAAGGGGGCCTACTGTGTAGGAGGGAATCCCAGGACAGTTAGCAGCTGACTTCTGAGAAATAGTGCTGGCAGGAAAACATAGAGTTCTGAAACAGCAAGTCAATCTGGTATCTTATCCAGCAAAACTTACCTTCAGAGATGAAGGGAAACAGACAGACTTAAAAGAACAAACAGCCCAAGCCACACAACAAACCCCAGGACTTCTAGCCCGCTGCCCTGTAGGAAAGTACCAAAGGAAGCTCTTGAGGGTTACAGCAGATGAGTGGATAGTGGCTTCAGGTTGGAGGAGAATGAGGAAACAGTGCCTGTAAAGGTGGTCATGCAGCTGTAAAGCCTTACGGTGCATAGCGCCAGCCTTCTTTCTAATGCTCTTCTGGAGCAGTTCACAGGTAACATTACATAATCACACCACTGGCCTTCAGCTCCTAGGTGTGTCGCGTCTCTGGCGGTGGGAGCATGGGGGAGGCAGATGGAGCTAAGCAGTATTAGTGTGAAGAGGCGCCACACGGCGACTCACAGCCTTAGGCCAGTGCAGAGACCTGTGTGAGGCAGAAGGCCAACAGAACAACGGCAGCTTCGCACTTGCTCTCTTCTCTTGGAGTCAGTCAATGAAAGGAATCAGTATTGGCCCAGGATCCCCAAGGCCAAGTTCTCAACACAAAGGATATTTATTTGCCCCAGAGAGACAAAGAGAGATGAAGGACGAGGGAGAAGGGGAAGGGAACAGGGGAAAGGCATCAGACATATTTGTCCCTGGGGGGTGGGCAAGGGGAACATTTGACAAAGGACTCCCTCTGGATAGAGAGGAGACAGATGCTGCAGGCTTATAAAGGTAAAGGGGCAGCCCCATGTTAGGATTCGGTGTTTAATTTTAATTGGTCATGTTCGTTAGGTGAGCCAAAGGGGGCTTTTGATTGCTGGGCTTCAATACTCTGGTAGCTGGACCTTGGTAGTCAGCCTCAGGAGGAGGAAGTGGGCAGATAAGGGAGTAGCCCTTGGTGGCCAGCTTTAGGGATGGAATCTAACAGTTTTTAGCAAGGCAGAGGGGCTGGGGTTAGGGCAAGGCCTGCCAGAGCTTGAGCCGCTTGAGCTGGCCAGAGTCAGGACATAAAAATGCAACATGGTGTGATTCTGAGCGTGTGTTAGGGCATCCCTAACATGTTTGGATGTAACATGAAGCAATGGCAGATGGACAGGAGACGTGGAGCCAGCACTAGCAGGAGTCTTCTTTCTGTGTCTCACAGGGAACCTGGGTGTGAAGGAACAGAGGCGGCACCGGAGAGTGGCCTCTTAGTGCAAAGGAAAGACTGCAGAGGAACCAGAGAGGCAGGGCACCTGTCCTTGACACCCTAACGCTGTTTTGTTGGCTTTTAAAGGTTTGCTTACATTTCATGAGCATGGCTGTTCAGCCATGAGTATGGGCACCATGTGTGTACCTGGTGCCCAGAGAGGCCAGAGGAGGGTGTGGGGTCCCTGGGTCTGGGGCAGCCAGCTCTCCCAACAGCTGACTCCTTTTCCCAGCCCCTCTGTTTAAAATACGGTTTTAAACTAAGTGCTGAAATGTTACTGTGTTTGGAAGATTCTACTAGGAAAGAAATTTTGTCAGCCTCCTGGCTGGAGCCCTCTGCCACCCCTGGCTTATCCTGGGTGTGTTTTCCAAAGGTGTGTTTCAGTGTTCTAGTCAGAGCACCTTGTACACCTGGCCTGAAGGCTGTGAAGGGAAGAGCTGCGATGTGGGAGAGAGATGAGCCAAGGATGGTTCTCTTGGCTCTGTGACCTGCAGCTGGTGGTGTGAGCTATAGTGGTAGCCCTTCCGCCTCTGGGCTCTGGGATTCAAGAGTGCTGAACTAGAAACCGACGGCAACTCCCTCCCCTCCCTCTGTAGTCTGTGTGTGAGGGGAGAGAAGGCCCTCGCCCCGTGGAGAGGCTCCTGCACCCTCCGAAGCCCCTGGGCCCCTTGGCTTCCCCCC